GGTGAGGTCTAATCTAAATCTGCGTTGGACGTCGCTCTGCTGGACCCCCCCCTAGCAACCCTCGAATGTTTTCACAGGCTCGCAGTTCGCAGCCCTCCCAGATATTGTGAGGTGTAATATTCACCTGCGTGGGACGCCACAATGCTGGACCCCCAGCAGCCGTCGAAAGTGCAACCAAGGAATGATGAGGTCGTCAAGTGTGATTCTGCGCAGGACGCCACTATGCTGGACGCCCCCTCAGCCCTCGAACGTAGCGACCGTTGCGCAGCTCGATCCCCCACCCCCGCAGATGGGGAGGTCGAACATGATTCTGCGCAGGCTACGTTAGACCCCTCCAGCAGCCCTCGCCAGTTTCACAGTTCGCAGCTTCCCCAGGGATGGCGAGGTCCAACCTGGATGTGCGTAATACGTCAGTCTTCTGGGCCCAACCAACAAACAGCCCCCGACAGTGGCGACTTGTTCGCAGGTTCTCAGGCCCCCACCTTCCCCCAGGAACGGCGATGCCGAGATTGAATATGCGCAGGATGTCAGTATGTTGGGCCCCAATAAGCCCTCGGCACTGGCGACGGTTTCGCTGGTTCGCAGCCCCCCCACACACACCCCAGAGATGGTGAGTGTTAATATGACCGTGCGTAGGGCGTCACTATGCTCCCCCCCAGCAGCCCTCGAAATTGCGATAGTTTCGCAGTTCGCGGCCGCCCAGGGATGGCGAGGTCTTGCTTAAATGTGGGTTGATGTCAGTTTGCAGCACCCGCCCCCCCCCCCCCCCCCAGCAGCCCTCGAACGTGGCGGCAGTTTGCAGCTCGCAGTTCCCAAGGGAGTGCGAGGTAGGAGGCGGGCGAGAGGTTGGAGAGAAGACGGGAAGCGGGAGGAGCGAGGATTGGAGACCGCAGTGTCCCATTCAAAGCGAGAATCCAACACAGGAGGTATGGAACAAGCAGCCATTTGGCTTGTCGGCTTGGGAATTCGAAATATCTGGCCCTAGCATGACAGCAAAGCAATCCGTTCGCCATTTCGTTTGCAGCACGTTTGGTCCTAGGCCGAGGACCCCCAG